CTTTTGTTTTCCTTTTTTTTTTTGTACATATTAAAAATGTCCACAAACGAGCAATCATCATAGAACAAACCTGCATCTGAGTCCGTAGATTTTCCAATTCAGATTCCTGAAAGAGAAACCATAACAAATCAAACACAGTCAATGGCGTATACAACCTAAGATTTTACTGTTCAAATGGCGAAATACGAAACATAATTCTCCTTAGGGGCTGATCATGTACCTGCTCACGAAGAGCATCTCCCAACTGAGACACGAGTGCAACTCTATTTGATTCAACATCTTTAAGCTTCTCAATGCATTGTTTTAGAAGATTTTCTTCCTCTTCCAATTCTTTGGATAGGGTTTTACGTGATGGATCCTTCACTGTACAATGAAATAGCAACACTTCAATATTAAGTACAGACGGACAAAATAAAACTTAACTTACTGCTAACAAAAACTACACTTGAGGTGTAGTTTAGCTACCAAAAAGGAATTCCAATTATTTTTCAAAAGTACAAACAATCCCTTAAAATGTAGGCAAACCCTTCTGAGGGTTTGTTGACCTAAATAAACATAAATGCATGAGGATATTAAAGTAGTTTTGATAAATATTTAAGGTGGAAAAACTATGATGGAATTAACCCCAAAAAATAACTGAAAAAGTACCTTTTGTTAACGCCACATCAACATCTTTTTCCATCTTCTTCACACGATGGACTGTGGACTTGCATTTACTCATTTGCTCTTCTTCATTGGTGTGATCACTGACCACCAAGTGAAAAGCCGAAACTATTTTCTCGGCCATGCCACCGATGCTCAGTTTCTGGTTCCAGAACAAGGTGTAAAAGAAAATGATTTCAATTCTAGCTATAAAAGGTAGGTGACATAAAACAATAAGTGAAAATGAAATAAAATGCCCTTGAGATGCATGAAAATGGAAAATCTCACTGTTTTTATGGATCGAGAATCCTTTTTAACTATTCTGACAGAACGAGAACGTTTCTTCCTCAGTTCCAAAGGTGGAGGCAATTCATCTCCGAGCATCACATCCTTAAGGCTTTGAGCACGAGAACCAAAAACTTTCCTTTCTTCCCATATTCCCACCTGTTGAAAGAGAAAATAGTATATTTTACTTGTTCATTTCTAACAAAACATAACCAACTTGATCATCTGATTGTCCCGCGCACACATAGGATGAAAAGAGTTTAAAAATACAAAGTAAATTAAGATATGAAACAAAGATATTTACTCAGCATGGCATGTTTGTACACAAACACAGAGTTCAAATATTCAAGAACTCATATATAAGGCCTTTGAAAAACTTCAAGAAATCAAAACAATACAAACAAATCTTCAATTTTTTCCCTCCATTTGGTATAGAGAAATATAAAGAAAAGCTCACCAATCTGGACACCACATTTTTTCCACGCTCGTCCCCTTTGCTAATGACCTCCTTAAGTGCCGATGGAAGAACCTTCCAAAACTCGGTGACAAATTCATTTCCTTTACGCTTACTGTTTTGCAAAATATCATTTGCAAGGTACAAAAGAGGCACTTTATGGGCCATATCCAAGATATGGAATTGCTTGTCCCATGTGGCAACAACTTGTTCGGCTTTACTACGGTGAAAGATGCACCAATGTGACAAAGCTATAATTGTAAAGTCAAGGTGAACATAATATGCCCAAAAGGAAAATAATTTCAAATAAAGTCAAATAAGTATTCTCTGCAAAGGTGAACGACAAACACAAATTCTATCAAAATACAAATTTAAGCACGTGTCAGTAAAAATGAAGTTAATTGAAATATTATTGAATTTCTTATGTTATTCGATTAAATTCCTGTGTGCTTGCGATCGTTTTACTGTTAGATACGAGTATGAAATACCTAGTCGACAGAAAATCTCAAAAATTCCCATTTGACAAAACGACACACTATACCAAAAACTTAAATGATAAATGCTGCAATAAGATTTACAAGACATTACATTTGTTAACCTTATCTTTCCCAAATGACGATAATAAAACTCGGGATTCCACTCCGTACAAGGAATTATTGGCGAAGCATTCGAAATCCAAAAAATAGCAACTTCTTGACAAATGTCATTAATTCCATAAACCAAAATAGAAGTATCAATCTCGGAAGTATCAATTATTATCAAATTCCAATAAAACTCAAATTCCATGCCGTAAAAGGAATAATTGGCTAAATGTCAAAAAACTGAAAAACAGCAACTTCTCGACAAACTTCTTTAATTCCACATACCTAAATCAGAGTATCAACCTAAAAAGACAAACTTCGTTAATTCCATATACCGAAATCAGAGTATCAACCTCGAAAGTATCATTTTTTACCAAACTCCAAAGTAACCGTTGGATCTTCCACCGGGATAGCTACTTATCGTACAACCGAATCCCAGATATCTCTAATCCAATTGACCAAAGATGAGGCAAATGAAAATGCAAAATGCAAAGCATGCAATTTTCCCTTGGGGAAAATGTGAACTAACAGAAAGCTATGTAACCGTTGGATGTTCCACCGGGATAGCTACTTACCGTACAACTGAATCCTGAATATCTCTAATCCAATTGACCAAAGATGAGGCAAATGAAAATGCAAAATGCAAAGCATGCAATTCTCCCTTAGGGAAAATGTGAACTAACAGAAAGCTATGCCGGAGTACGCGCAAAAATAAATTGAGGAGGATACTTTCGATGCATTGCTGAGTGCTGTTGAGCTTCGAAAGCTTATCGCCAAGGATCTGTTCACTGAAAACACTACTCATCCCCAACAAGTCACCAACGGCCTTCGTTCTCAACCACAAATCCCAACTTCACCAAAGTGCAATCAAATAGATACAAGCACCCCCAAGCCCCATTACTTAATTGAATCCAAAAAAATAAAAACCCTAAGCTAACCACGAGAAATCGATACTCCTTAGGGTATCAAAACAATTAACAAACAGGGTCCGCGCAAAATCACCAGCTTCGCGGATAAATTGAACAACATCAAAGCAAAACAAAAGAATTAATTTTTTTCAGCTGAATTGCATTAGGGTAAATTTATATAAGAACTCCCATCAGAAACCAAGCAAAAATTTATGCATAAAACAGGCCAAAATAGGAAATTGGTAAAAGGAATTCGTTTTCAGAAAGCAAAAGGAGGCAGATTTGAACAAATCAGAATTCTATCGAGCACGGCCACGAACCCTAATTGAGTCTGGTTCTTAAAGAGGGGTTTTGAAGGGGGATTTTATACATAAGATGGCAAAATTTTCCAGAGCGTGAGCTTTTTCCATGGCGTTGTGTTGTGCGTTTTATGTGGAGATTTTTTGAAAGCCAGATTTTTGGGGTTGTAAATTGTAATTTGTGTATTTTTACACGTGTTTTTTCCTATTAAATTTTATACAGATGACATTTTTGGTCTTTATTTTTTTTTTTGGTACAGGGACCTTCCGGTTTCCGGATCCACAAGGGAATCGACTAATCTAGAATCGAGCCGGGTAGGACCACAAGGGCGGCAAATCTCTCCCTCAAGAGTTTTAACACTGCTGCATTACCAGGGCTCGAACTCGAGACCACTGGTTAAGCTGGAAGAGACTCAAGCCATCTCATTCAAGCGCTCTTGGGTTTTGGTCTTTAGCTTTTAACTCGAAAAAACCACCACAATGGCACAATGACGTTATAATGACACACGTCCAATGTGCATTTATTATAGGACACGTGTATCACTGAGTGTCTGTTAAGAAATTTATATCTAATTTAATAAATAATAAAAAAATGTTTTAAATTTTAAATACTTTTTCAAAGAATATATAATTATTTTTATTTAGAATAACACCCTTCACATATATGACTTACTCATCTTGTATTATAATATTTTTAATTATAGTTAATAGATAATTTATTTTTGTTTATAAAGATAAAGATAATTGTTTGTTTATTTTACATATACAATATGAATGTTAAATCATGGCTAATCAAGAGACGGTAATTTTGTTATACTATATATGAAAAAATAATAATAACTGCAAAATTTTATTTTTAATATATATTTACAGTTTAACTTAGTACAGTGTATTATGATTAAAAACCAAAGGAGTGGAGGAATAGAAAGATTGAGAAAAAGAAAATATTCATGCCTTATTAACCAATCTATAATAGAAAATGATATTAAAATGCAATTAATGGCCATAAGAAAGGAACATAGAATATCCAATATATTTACGGCTTATTTCAAACCTAATTATTTTTCAATTGGAAGTAAATTAAAATTGATCAATGTAAATTGACGAAACATAAAATTTTGGCACATAAGATACGAAACGTGCGAGCATGTCAATTAAGTTCACCACATCTAAGAATTATATACAAGGGGAGTCTGGAAAAGGTATTATAAATTACTAAATTAGTCTTGCAAACAAAAGGGAAGAGATTACAACGTAACTTTATACCCCATTTAATATACATTGGTTATTTTATACTATTATTGACTATTATTGATATCTATGAGATCTAATTAAAACATTCACATAGTTTAGTACATGCCTTTAGAAAAATAAAACAAAAAATACACGGTAAGCACAAAAAACTTAATTATTTTTTATTTTTATTTTTTATTTTGAAACACGAAACACCACCCACTTAGTAGTAAA